GAGCTGTCGCTGACAGTGCGAAGAAGCACAAAAGTGACAGTCTGGCCCTGTCGCATTGGGCCCTGCAGCGACACAAAAAGACAGACAAACACACACTTGTAAACACACTGCCATCCCTCCCGCATCTCCAAAATCCATCCTATATTTGTTTTGAGAGAGCATCTAACCTAGTCTCTAATCTATTTATATATAACAATTCCCATGTATCTTTTTAGTTCACAGCTCTTTATATCCTATTACAGACATATCCATTTTTTTCATTTTTTACTTTTTCATGCTGCTTCTGTGATCCCCATCCTTTCATTCTTTCCTCTATCTTTCTATCCCTCTTCAAAGTTACTTTATTCTGACTTTCTTTTATATTCTGCATAACAACCTACCGTCCATCCATCCTTCCTGCTGTGGATTCGCCTCTGTTATGAGGTTATTCAGACTTGTTTACAACTCCCCCGCCCTCTCTCCTCCTCCAATCCATCATTCATCCTTCATCATTGCTGATCGTCCATCATTCATACAGCCATTCCACCATCTTTTTTCCATTCGTCTTTAGAAGCGGTTGTGTATGCCTGCTTGACTCTCTGCCATGCTGTTTACTGACCATTCTTGCTGTTTTGGACTACTCTCCTTCAACTTTTCAGCCTGTCCTATTTATTATAGCTTATTTCCTCCTTTTCCATCCATCCATCTATCACTTCAGAGCAGACTTTTTCAAGGTTGCTATCTATAAAAATCACCACTTTTTCTTTCTCTCCATCCCTCCATCCTCCCCTCTCACCTTTTATGAAAATTAGGACCTATAGTATAGCTACCTCTTTCATCATCACTCTCTTCCTCCCCCATCACTCTCTGCCCCCCCCCCCTCCTCTCTCTCGTAGGTATTTGCAGTTATTTGGGTTTCTGAATTCTGACTCTAGGATTTCTCTTCTTATCGTCCCTTATTCCCCCGTCAGTCAACTTCTTTTCCCTCTCCCTCTATCCCTGTCTCAACTCTAAAAGTTAATTTGCAGACTGTCTCCTTATAAGATCATACACAGACAAACGCTGTGGTCGATGCTTTTTTCTCTCCTAAGATAGAAGGCTGAGAAAAAAATCTAAAAATATCTGACCACAACAAACCCGGGCCAGACAGTCGACACCACCCTATATAATGTGGGCTGAGAGGCAAGCATATGCACAAACACACACATGTTCACGAACCATGTCAAGCGTCCATCTCACACTTCAGAATTTATTTCATTCTGCTTTATTTATGCAGCAATCCCCTTTCGAATCCAACTCTCACCCGTTCCTCCGACTGACTGGCTACCCTCTGTTTCTTCTCCGAGTGAAGAATTTCATAGACCTTGAGCAAAAATGGAAGAATGGATGTGAGGGAGCAAGCAAAAACACAGCTCAGGTAATAACCTGATTTCGCCTCAGCTGGTTTTGATTTAAGAGAGGAAGAGTGTGTCAGAAAAAACAGCAGGCGCTCTCCTGTCTCGATTCCATGCCAGATTTTTGAAGAGAGAAGCGAGAGAGGGATGGAGACACAGAATGAAAGGAGAGAAAAAAAACTGAACTGAACAAAAAGAGATAGAGACAGTGAATCACACGCCATGCCAATAAAATGAAGTGAACTGACACAAAGAGACAGAGATACCAATGATGAGTGCGCTACAGAGGGAGACAGGGGAAGGGAGATGGAGAAGGACGTGTGGGAGGGTATTACCAGTGAATGAACTTTTAATAGCATTGAGATCAGTCGTACCAGGAGCTCAAACAGAAATAAATGCATTGCCTCCATAATTTAAACCTAATTTTTTTTTTATATAAAATTTTGCTAAAGTATGTTTATTTCTCCTAACAGGACGATTCTTATCAGTCAGCAAACATGACAGTGTGCCAGTGTACCTGACACCAGAGAGCAAGGGAGAGACTCTGACAGCAAGACAGGCAGGGACAGAGAGGCTTATGGGTAAATAGAGCACTGCAGTCACTAACACCTCATACACACAGCCAGTTGATTACCCTAGGTGTCTGTATTCACACATGAGGAGCATTTGAATTTTAAACTCCTCCAAAAACATGTGTCAGCCCTCACCCATCTGTCTGTCACCCTGCAACACCCTGACAATAGCATGAGCACAATTAATGTAAAGCTGGGTGGATGTGCCAATTTACCCCCAATTTCCTGCTTACAGCACCACACTTTTCTTTCAAATGTGTATTTTTGTAGCATAATATATGAGGCGTGCCATTTTCCCTGCCAAACGCATCTCCATATCAACGAGGGTGTCCCAATTTGCCAATTTGAAGCACATCCCATTCCCATGTTTACTGTAAAACATTACAATTTTAGCAGCTATATTCAAATGTGCACTTCCTCATAAAAAAAGGGGGACATTACATTTTGGCGCTGAAGTTATGTTTTTTTGTTGTTGTTTCAGCATGTATATTTACATTCTCGAGTCATTATTGCTTGCTAGCAATGTTGAGGTTTATCATTTGTGCAACGGAATGACTAAAAAGATTACAAGTTGAGGAATCTACAACTTCCTTGATTTATATGCTGTTTCATTCTGCATGAAGATGAATTTCTCCATTTTGATTTTGTCAAAGTTGCACCTAACTGAGCCTGTCTGTTGTTTGCTCAAGAAGAGTATCCAGATTAAAAGTTATGCATCATGGATATACAAGATCTTTGTTTGGCTTTGTCTAACCATATCATGCATAAATTGACATGAAAGCAAAGGATGGAAAATAAATGAAAGAGGCAGATTTAACTTTGATTTTGTTGCATCACAATATTGGTTTTTCAATAATATAAATATTAACTGACTACGGGTATGCAATGCTAATCAAATGTCAACCTCTCTGTTTCTATGTAAAGGCATCTCTCCCTGGCGCGGTCTGTTATATGTGACACTTATCCCTGCCTCAGAAATCTGAGCAGTAATATCTTGTATAGTATATCAGCATGATGCATAGAGCTTATTCAAAGACCTGAATACAAATATGTAAATAGCTCTTTCATTGGGCTGATGGTAATCGCTTTCTGCGAGGCAGGTTGCCGTACACAAGGCCTAATAAGAAAAAAACAAAACCAAATAAATAATGTAGGCCTTACAAGTCAGTGGGGTGTCAAGAAAAGGGAAAACAAGTATTCAAAAGCCTAACCCTATAATATTTACCTTATTTTTCATTTCTTATGTTTGTTTGTGTTGCGCAATAATTACATTTATGGAAGTCGTTATTCAAAAGTGCGCCTTTGAAGAAGTAACTCAGCAGATGCGTTGTTTAGAAGCAAACTTCCCAAGACAGTAAATTAAACTTAAAGAGATGCTGCGAGGCATCACATAATGTGTGGCTGTTCAAGTTTTTGATACATTTGGTTGGCATCCAGAGAACATATGTAAGCGTGTATGTGGAATTTGGAAATAAGCCAGAATTAGAATGACACAGGTCAAATAACAATTCAAATAGTTCCCCAACCTTTGCACAAGAGGTAAAACGGTCAATGTTCATCTTCCTCTCAACATCTGTTGAGTTTTTGTTGTTTTTAATTTTAAGGAAAGGGATTGATTCATATTCCAACCAGCAGTTTCAGAAAAGCCAGTTTTGAAGAGCAAGTTCAACGCTGTGGTTTTAATAAGCAAAATAGCTCAACAACCACGAAGATTTTAGGGTTTAGTTGTTGTATTCTCTTTCCCAGGATGATGCAATCATCATGCACCACACTGACCTTGTGCAAAATATAATCAATCCATATTCATTTAATTAGCATACAATTCTTTTGTAATCAGAGCAGCTGTCGGGTTTCGGGTAGAATGCACAAAAGAGGAAAAAAAGGAGAAAAGAAGGAGAATAAAAATAAAAATGTGCTGCTGTTCTCTAAGCCTGCCTTTGTTTACCCATGGTTATGCTTAAATCTGTGCTTCTGTTGTTGCCTTTTGAAATGGTAAACACTAAACAGCTCTCTTTTCCACTCCCTCCCTGTACCCATCCATTCACCAAGCTTCCTTCACTCTGCTGCTGAAGTTCTTTGGGCCGTTCTCTCTCGCTTTGTTTCTGCCTGACTGTTGGCCTCTTCTTTTCCTTTCTCTCTTCCTCTCTCCATCTTGGACCTATTTAGGTAGCAGGCATCAAAACTATGCGCTAACATGTGCTATATATTACTATACAGTATTTGCTGAGCTAACTAAACTAAAGGTGATTAAAGGATGAATCATTGTATATTCGTAGCTGGGTATTTGAGGGGCTTACAAGTGCAAAGTTTCTATCAGGTGCATTTTGCCTTCTTTCATTCATCAATCAGTTATGAACACACATTGACTTGCATTTAACGTCACACTGTATTCGTGAAGATGGTACAGTAGAAGTAATTCAGTTTCTGTTTCACATGGGAAGGTAAGAAGGTAACTTTCTCTCCAATTAAATTGTATGGCAGATGAGTGACTTTACATTACAACACTTTTCCAAGCCCTATAGTAGTAAAAGTAAAAAGAGTAAATGTACTTGTCGTAATTCTACCTGATGATGTAGCAGTGGCTGTGCCAACAGCTACAGTAGTTTTCATAGTAATAGCATTAAGTCTTCTAAAGCTTCTGTATGCTCATCTTCACAGTGTGTGTGCATGTGTGTGTCTGTGTCACAGCTGTGAATGCAGTAGATGAAATGTGCAGTTGTAACACATTTAACAATATCATATAGAGGCAATGGTATTCTTTCCTGCACCTATTCGTATTATCATAGGCACTCACAATGACTCAAATTAAAAGTCCCATTAATCCGACAGTGTAATCCCCCCATTGCATGGAGCGCCTTATTCTGCCTGATTGTGGATTAGAGAACACTGAGACCCTGTGTTGGTGGTCACTGATGTATAACACCTCATGAAGATAATATGGTGTGTGTGCGAGCACGTGTTTCTTGCTGTGCTGGTGGTCAGTATTGCGCGTGTGTTGGGGGGGGGGTATGTTGTACATGTGGATAATGTGCTTCTTTTCTTCCTTTGTGGTTACCTGGTGAAGGGGAAAATCCCTGTGAGGTGGTCTTCTCGCAATGTGGACTGTATAGACAGGGGGCTGTAACAGAGGAAACAGTGAATTAATAAAATAAGGCCCCCAGAGTAGAACACTAAGTCAGAGTGCTCAGATACGGGATGGAAAGCAGAGTTTTAAGGAGTAAAGCAAAAGAGGGACCAAAGACGATATGCCAACATTTGCCAGTTTTCTAACCCTATAACCATCCACCCAGAGGTTTATACATCTGCTCTGAATTTATAAGAGCTTGACGCACGCTGACCATATTTCATGCGTTTATCTTTGACGGATGCAGACAAGTTATTTCAAATGTTGTCTCTTTGTTCCCCACAGAGTAACACGGTCATGCCAAGGTTGTATTTGGGGTCATCACTCTAAATAAGCCTCTCCACTCTGACTCCTTGAGTTTACAGGACACTTTTTTAGTCAATCACCCTCCCTCCTCACCCTCTCTCCAGCAACTCATCATGTTGGTCACACAGTGTCCGTTATTTGTATGCACAGTACCCATAACTATCTATAAAATCCTAATTCCAACCCCCGCAGAGTAAAAGAGAGCAAATGCACCTCTTGACCCCACCACATCTCATTCCCTGAGATCATTTGTTAAACGCAAATTGGAACTGGTGGGCAAAAAAAAAAGGCAGATGGCGAATGGGAAACTGAACCAGTAATAATAATAAACATTTATATCCCTCTGTGGCTGTATAGGAAAATCTATACTGTACAGCCTTCATACAATCATAAAAAAGTATCGGTCAGAGATGCACGGCTGCACAGCTCTCACTGGAGCTTGGAATGAATGTATTCATCATACACTGTTGTTGCATCCCAAATGGGGACAATCTTAAAAGGTGGTCCTAAACATAAAAAACAGTTTATCTTCATTTGAAGCACTGATGCATAGTGGTGTGCGTGTGTGTGTGTGTGTGTGGGTCTAAGAGATGTACAGTTTATATATTCATGGCTGACTTTTATAGCCATGAAAACGAGGCCCACTAGTCCACGGTAGCAAACAGGCAGATATTATTCCATTTCATCACCATGAGCTTATAGCACAGTGAAGCTGAGTGTTGATAGTTTATTATAAACCATCCCCCAAGATGAATATGTGTGGTCAGAACTGAACATATGCATACTCATTAGTCTGGAGTGGTCTTTTTTTTCAGCAGATACAAAAATGTTATTGTTCGACTATTTGGTAAATGGTGAAGTAAAAATAAAAATAAAAAATATTACGATGAGTAAATTCAATTAAAGTATATATATGTTTATATATATTTAATTGGAATATCATAGTTTTATTACACTCACATCTGTTTCAAACTTTGTGTATTTAAGTAATGTAACCTTGGCAAGCAAAATCAGATGAGTTTTTGATTTGGAAATGGAAGAATTTGCTGATACTGAAGTCCAACATGCTGGATAAGCTGTTGCTGCAACCCTGAGATGCATTGCTTACGGATTGGCTCCAATATCTTCCTATTAGATCAGCACTTCTTGTGAGCAATGTGCCTTTTTCTACTGCAGTCATTTACACATTTTTGCAGGCCTGCTGGAATGTTTCCCAGCCCAACAAACCAAACAGTTTTTTTGTAAAATCCTGCTGTATTAATGCAGGATACATGTACCTTGGTCATGCTGTAAAAAAGCATGGGTGGGCACGCACAAAGTGTCAGGTACAGTGCAGAACAAAAATCTCCTAATCCTCTAACTCTTTGCTATTCATAATTATTTCACAGGGCAGCCGTCCAGACATACGGCCCCTACCCTGCTCAGCCCAGTCTGCCAAGCTCCTACACTGGGTTTGATGTTCCTCCAACATCCTACAGGGTATGATTATTTCATTCCTTTTTTAACATAACACATCAATTATTCAGCCTTTGCTAGACCAGATTTGATATATCTTTTTCTTTTTTTTTTTTTTGATTTAGCAAAAATGACTGCATGTGTGTATGGGTGTGCGTCCACCCCATCTAAGGGGAGACTGAATATAAAATGTTCCGCAGAGATAATACCTCATGCCTTGGATGATTGATGGATGGTGAAGGGGTGGAGTAGAAGCAGGAAAAAAAATGCAAGTTCTCTGGATAAGTGATGGCTGCATTAGCATAGGATGGCAAATGCTCCTTTCACTCTACAATAAATTGCCTCCCATTCTCAAGGCAAACTGTCCGCACAACAAGTGTAACTGTGACAGTGTGCGTGTCTGTACGTGTGCTAGGCACTTTTCTTGTACTAATTCCGCTGGATTTCTAGACTGTAGTAGCACTGCATCAAGCACAAGAAAAGATTCGATTATTATACAATGACACCTCCAGGTTTTGCAATGCAGTTAAGTCAATTTCAAATACCCACTGGGCAGCAACAGTAAACTTTTACTCTATAAATGAGATGAAGTCCTGAAAGGTAGAACTTAGTCCCTAAAGCATTTCATTGTTAAATTAATTAGCTTGTGATGCACAAGCCTCTCATTAATTCATACCTTTACAAAAATGATTCCTTTATCCTTTGGCCTCATTTCTTCTCTCACTCCCCCTTTCTCACCGTCTCTCTCCCCTGCCATTCCCCTCCTCTCCTTACGTCCTCATCTTTGCTAATGAGCCCACTTAAATCCATGCCAAAACACAAACAGCAAGAGAAGAAGAAATAGCTACAATGCTTACTGGAAGCTCTGTTTGTTAATTAAAGGATTCATCATGTGAGCTGTTTTCAATAAATAATATATGCAAACGCTGACTTTTGTCTGCAGACGAGACTTCGGGACATGAATTATGCATTGTTATTTCTGGATAGGGCAATACCGGGACAGTGTGGTGTGTGTGTGTGTGTGTGTGTGTGTGTGTGTGTGTGTGTGAGTGTGTGTACCCTGGTAGATACAATTTCTGAGGCTTACAATCACATCACCTATGTGGACACAACTCACTGTGATTACAACTCTGAAGAAATTGTTTGATGTGTAAATATGTACATGATCCTCACCTTAAGCTCCTGGAGGCTCATTTTGACTTTCTGTTCAAACTTGACTCCAAAGGATCACAACCACTACCGTTCAATTAGTAGTTGTAGTTCATCTTATGCTAATGAAGTCTCACGATTGGTCAGATGATTTAAAACAGGATTCATATGCGAGTGAGTTTTCACTCATTTGTCCTGTGTATGGGAGGTGGCCCTCCCAGCACATTTGTGTTTACAGTATATTTTTTTCCCATTTGATCCCTACTCTCTCCCTTCTCTCCTCTTTTTTTCCTGCTGTTTCCTACTCTGTAATCACTACAACAACAAAGGAAGCTGCGTTCCCGCTAGACAGTGGAAAGGTTCCACTAGAAATGCTAAATGTGTGTGTGTATGTGTGCGTGTGTGTGTGTTTTTTTAGGCTTCTCGTCTGTTGTCACCGGGGGAACATGAGTGGAAAAACTTGATTGAAAATCAGGAAAAAAGGGAATAATTACAAAGAGGAAAAAGGCACCCATCCACCCGCGACAGCAATCATCAGTGATCTCTGCTGTCATTTCATTCCACAGTAAATAATTCATCAAGAGAAACAAAGGGGAAACAAATATGCAAATAAATCCCGAAAAGGCCAGTAACATCGACCTACCGCCACATGGGAAGAATAGTAGTGGATTATTATCATGGCAGGTTATGACTGTGATGAATCTGAATTCCTCATGTTTCATCTACCTTGACAGTACTGAAGTCACACATGCACAGAGAAAGAAAAAAAACCTGGAGGGATTTGAGGATTTGATTGAGGAGGGAGGGATGGAGGGATTAAGGACAAGGGGAATGGAAGGATCGAGGGAGGGGGAAGGAGAGGCAGGGAAGAGGGGTAGCAGACATTGGAGGGAAGAAGAAAGAGATTTGGGAGGGGACTGGAGGAAAGGAGGGAGGGAAGCTTTTGAGGGTGTATTCGACAGTACTGTGAAAGGTAGCCATCAAGAGCTTTGATGAAAAGTGCAGGCCTTCTAAAGCTTAGGAGTGACAGCATATGATTTGGTCAAAGCATGAAGCTTTTCAAAGGTAGACATTCTCACTCCTATTTTATCTCTCTCAGGTTCAGTGTAACTTTTGGGCTGAGCTCTGGCAAAACTCAAAAATTGGTTTGACAGATTTGGCTGCATGTGGTATTGTCCCTGTGACTTACCAAAATTAGGCCAGCTGGAAAAGTAGACATCCTGAAATGAAGGGGAATTACATACGATGTTTCAACAAACTGTCGTAGATCAGCAACTATGCTATTTTTATTGAGGAAGTGACACAGAATTCTGTATGCTTAAAAGAAGCCTCATTATCATTGCCCTTGGTTCTTTAGCCATAAAAAAGTGCTTAATAAAAGAAGCAATGCATGACAGTTCTTTTTAAGTTCTTATTTTAAATGTATTTCAAGCAAGAAAAACACTGAATTTAGCACCTTTTACACATTATGAAGTCACTTTTTCCCATCCCTCATGCTACAAACACAACCCTTATGGATGTTATATGTGTTTCCTCAGTTGGCAACACCTTAACACGCAGCCACTGCTTTGCCAATGGCCACCTAGTTCTTTTGGAGTGGTGCTTGAGGCTTATTAGCACTTTGGCTCGGCAACAGCAATATGGACAGGCTTTCTGAGCCAACGGTCGTTAAAACTGAGGGTTGAGGTTTACTGTCCCAGGTCAGTGGTAACAGGCAGCCTGTCAGATGATACCAGTGTGTCATTTTCACACACACACACAAATACATTATGTTGGAAATAGCATGCAATTTAACACCTACGCACATAGACGGACAAACACACTCATGATAATGCTCTTTACATGTAAAAGCATGCATGTGCACAAAATTGAAATTACATGCCTGTGAGGCTCTTGTCTGATAATGGTGTCTAGTTCACTCTTTCACACAGTTACACACACACACACAGATAATAGTGTCTAATTTAGGCCCTCATATCTGTAGAGTTCTCCAGAGGACTAGACCTCATCAGGAATATATTGGTGACCTACATACTAGGAACACACACACATACACACACACACACTGGCATAACTGCAAATGA